TTATTAATAAATTATTATTTTTTAATTTAAAATTAAAAGTAAAAAATTAAAATAAAATAATCTATACAAAATGTAAGAATAATTGAATTATTATATTTTAATAATTAAATTAGATAAATATTAAAAATGTATTAACTTAAAATGTGTTTGAATCCCTTTTTAATTTTTTTGTCCAAATCCATACCCACGATGCCCCAATGATGCCGCAATAATAGGAATAGATATTTGTAGAGTTAGCTGGAAATTTGAGAAATTTAAAATTACGAAATAAAACTATTCTGCAAATGGCACTACTATCTAGGATTTTTCCATTATATTTTATAGTAGGACAGTTTTGGATCCACACATGCATTTTCACAGCACACCCATCCAACGGATCCAAACAATGTTCCTTCGAGCTACACAATGCGGCCCGACGGGCCGCGCGCCTCAGAAGGTGAGAGCAAGGTTTTTAAAATCGGATTGGTTATTGAACCATTTTTAAGTTTGATTTTTGATTTAATCGGTTCAATCAATTCAACCAATGAACCAGCCAGTCCAAACAGCAAAGAACATTTGATGAGAGTAGCAAGCTGCAGGCATGGATTTTTTAATTTGGTGTTTGATAATTTTGTAATTTTGTTAAAATTAAAGGTTAAAATGTGTATAAGAATGAAATAAGAAGGGTGAAATTAAAAAAAATCGAAAGAAGATTGCATAAAAAATTGAACCAGTAGTTTTTTTGGTTTCATCGGTTTTATTGGTTTTTATCGGTTTTATTAGTTTTAACCAATTTTTGATCGATTTTGACCGATTTGATTGGTTTTGACATCAAATGGTTTTTTTATGTAAACCAAACCATTTTTATCACTGAATACCAGTTTGATCGATTCAATCGACCGATCCGATTTCGGTTTAAAAACCTTGGGTGAGAGATCACTTGTGTTGGGATCGATTTTTTAATTAATAATAATTTTTAACTTAATTATTAATTATTATTCTTGTAAAAAAAAAAGGTTCCTTTATTTTTTATTTTTATTTTTTTTTTAACTCGGGTAATGTAATATTAAGTTAAGGTTTATGTACATCCCTATAGAGCAGATTACGTAGGATATTGGGAGGACAATGTGCCCAATACGAGGGGCATTGTCCAGTAATTGACGCCCGGGCAACCCAGTCAGCTACCTGGTTGCCTGAGCGTGGAACAAAATTGAACTTGAACCCAGGATTACTAATACAAGATTGTCTGATAGTCATAATCAAGGATTGGGCCTCCCATGGTAGAGGCTTTGAAGATTGCTGGATAGAGGAGATTAACACCTGATTATCAGATTCGAAGATGATCTCCTGAAAGCCTTTATCCTCAGCAAACCGGACGGCCTTAAGGAGAGCAGCTGCTTCTGCTGAAAGTGGGGTTGACGCTGAGTAACGCCACGTCCTTCCAAAAGTGATTTCGCCGTTCGAGTTACGTCCAACCATGGCCAAAGCTGCTACCCCCGAACTTGGTGAGAATGAGGCATCAACATTGACCTTGATAATGCCGCATGGAGGCCTAGACCAGGAAGATTTACCCAGTTGTGCAGGTGGTTGGGACTTGGATGGGGGTTCCAATAAGTCCTGGTGGTCCAGAGATAATTCCTGAAGCATGTGAGAAATACAAGTAAGAACCTGGCTAGGAGGGATTTCAGCCTGATCAAAATATTTCTCATTTCTGGCTTTCCATATATTCCAGCAAACAACAGCACAGTAATCCGGTAAGGAAGGAAAGTGCATTTGTCTAGCTACCCGCTTGATATACCTCCACCATTCCACAAGATTACCCACCCCCAGCTGCCGTGGGTCAAGACCCAAGGCTGAACCAAACCAAATTGGTTCCACATGAGGGCAATAAAAGAGCAAATGCATGATTGATTCATCAGTTAAATGACAGAGGGGACATAATGCCTCATGTGCAATTCCCCTCCGCATCAAATTATCCATTGAAGGCAGGGAGTTAAGAAGAGCTCTCCATAAGAAAACACGCACCTTAGGAGGCACTTGTATTTTCCATATATGTTTCCATTCAGCAGATGAAAGGATCAAATTACCATGAGTCCTATCAGTTTCATTAGCAGCATGAATTGCAAGGAGATAGGCACTTTTAACAGAAAAATTTCCATATCTATCATAATGCCAAATAAAGGAGTCAGACCATACTCCAATAGGAATTTTTTGGATTTCCCGACACTCCTCCATGTTGAAACATGTATTAAGCTTGGGAATATCCCACTCCCCCTCATGATCAATCAGTTCACAAACATGAGACAGTAATGAGTTGGTGATCGAGAGGGAGGTTACCTTAAAATCAGGAAGGGTGGGCACCCATTTATCTTGATAGATCAAAATGTCCTGGCCATTTCCAACATTCCATCTTGCTCCGAGTTGGACAAGGTTCCTGCCTTGCAAAATACTCGACCATGCCCATGACGGATGACTACCTTTCCTAGCATCAAAAAAGGAAGAGCCTGGAAAGTATATGCTTTTAAGCACACGGGCCCATAAGGCATTGGGGTTCTGTAACATCCTCCAAGCTTGGCGGGCTACCATGGCTAAATTAAAGTAATAGAGGTCTTTAAAGCCCATACCTCCAACATGTTTGCTTTGAGTGAGCCGATCCCAACCTACCCAGCAGACTTTCCTCTCATTCGTTTGCTGTCCCCACCAAAAGTCCTTAATAAGTCGATTGATTTCTCTGCAAACACCCATAGGAAACAAAAAACAGGACATTGTGAAGGTAGGAATGGTCATAGCAACTGCTTTAATCAAGACCTCGCGGCCCGCTTGGGAAAGCAAGTTTTTTTTCCAATGAGCCAGTTTCTGTTGAATTTTGGCAACCACAAATTTGAGGCTATCTTTTTTAGACCTTCCCCAAGAAGTTGGTAATCCAAGGTATTTGGAGACAGCAGATTCAAGTCGAATACCCAGGTGCTCACAAATGGATTCCCGGACTTCCTTAGGGGTATTGGGACTAAAAACTGCAGCAGACTTGGAGTAGTTAACCCTCTGTCCAGTAATATCCCCGTAGAGTTGCAAGATAGTTTGTAAATGATTCACTTCCTCGGTTGTGGCTCGACAGAACACCAAGGAATCATCAGCAAACAAGAGGTGACTGATTGTAGGGCTCCTCCTCCGTATCTTGTAACCAGAGATCTTCTTTTCTGTTGTTGCTGCCATCAATAGACGAGATAAGAGATCAGCAATAAAGAGATAGAGGTACGGGGATAGCGGATCTCCTTGCCGGAGTCCTCTTTGGGGAACAAAATTAGGGGTTTGATAGCCATTAATTCCAACTGTGTATGATACCGTCGAGACACATTGCATTACCATATGGATCCATTGCTCACAAAAGCCATGAGCCCTCAAAATATGTTCCAAACTGTGCCAATCCACACTATCATATGCCTTCCGAATATCTAATTTCAAAGCCAAAACACCATGCTTACCAGATTTCTTAAGCTGTAGACCATGGAAGGCTTCATGTGCAATCAAAATATTATCTTAAATAGCTCTTCCAGGAATAAAAGCAGACTGAAATGGAGAAATCAAGCTATCAAGATAGCCTTTCATGCGATTAGCTAGTATTTTAGCAATAATTTTATAAGAAAAGTTACAAAGAGAGATGGACCGGAAATGTGAAATCACCTCAGGGGCTTTAATTTTTGGAATGAGGACAATTTTAGTTCTATTCATTTCTCGGAGCATAAAACCATGTTCAAAGAAGTGTCGAATAGCCTTGTAAACATCTGGTCCTACAATGCCCCAGTGTTGTTGATAGAAGCACCCTGGGAACCCATCCACTCCAGGCGCCCTGAAAGCACCTAATTGGAACACCGCAGAACGAATTTCATCATCCGAGACAGAACGACACAATTCATGATTCATTTCTGCCGTGACAGCCGGGTGGATAAGCCTTGAAATCTGCTCAAGATTACAAGTGTTCGAGGAAGCATAAGCTTGTTGGAAGTGGGAATAAGTATGGGAGATGATGGATTCAGTGTCTTCCAGCCATTGCCCATGCTCATCCTTGAGTTGAAAGATGTAATTGTTCTGCCTCCTTTTAGATGCAATCACATGGAAAAATTTAGAATTCCTATCACCAAATTTGATCCAGTTCATACGAGCTCTCTGAAACCAGTATGCTTCCTCTTGCATCCAGATAGTGTGAATTCTGTCAATTAAAAGCTTCTGCCTCGACCAATTCAATTCTGTTTGTTCCTCTTGTTGTAGTGCATCCAGTTCTTGTTGTAATTGCTCCAATTGTTGATATGGATTTCCTGAGGTAGCTTTGCTCCATTCCTTCAGGGACTGTCTACAATGGGAGATTTTTGCTGCCATATTATACAGGGGAGATCCGACTCGGTTGGTCGACCATCCTTGCGCCACTGCTTCCTCATATCCAGTTTGGAGTTGCCATTTCATCTCATATTTGAATTGCTTCTTCGTGATGCTAGGAATAGCTTTTAAGCAGAGTACTAGAGGACAGTGGTCTGAGCCGATCCTTGTGCAGTGGAACAGCTGAGCATGTGGGAAGAGACGACCCCAACCGTCATTACATAGTGCCCGATCAAGTCGTTCACTAATATTGCCTCGGACCCATGTATATGTAGCGCCTTTATAAGCAACATCTCTTAAGGAGCAAGAGCAGATCAAGTCCTCATATAATCTTCTATCAATCCTGGACGGAGGTCTTTTCCCCTTCTTGTCACTACTATTTCCAATAAGGTTTAAATCTCCCATTACAAGCCATGGAATAGAGCTAGGCCGTCTATGGTTCATCATCCTGCTCCACATAACTTGTCGTAACTGTGCATTAGGTTCCCCATAGACAAATGAAAAATGCCAAGTGACAGAGTACTCAACATCTGAACAGCTGCCATCCAGCATATTTTTATCAGAGGAGAAAATGGAAATCTGAACATCCTCAGTCCACCACAAGGCTAAACCCCCTGAATAACCTTGCGGTTCAACATACACACCACTAGAAAATGCATATTTTCTTCTTAACCGCTCCAGGTATTTCTTGTTCTTTTTGGTCTCCATCAAAAACACCAAGCACGGGCGATGTTTAAATATGAGGTCATTAAGCGCCCTTCTCGTCAAGGCTTGCCCAAGGCCCTGACAATTCCAAGAAAGAATCTTCATGTCGGTGAAGGTGGCTGCCACTGGCCAGCCACCGATGCCACATCAGTCATAGCATCAGGAAATTGCTCGGTTGTGCTTGATGGAGAGTGTAGATGGTATGTAGAAGGATTACCTGGAGCATGAGTTGTAGTAGAGATCAGGGGGGTAACAGGGGGTTCATTGAGTAGGCTGTGAGTTGGATGGAGCTGTTGGAACAATGACAAGCAAGGAGCTGGTTGGAGCTTGACTTGGCGGGCCATTGCCTTCAGTTGGATTTTGCGCCTCACCCGATGGACTGAGAAGGACTCTGCAACAGCTATGACTTCACCTTTTTGTTCCTGTTGATAAGATTCGAGCCTTCCCAATGCTATGGAGTCTTGTAGTGGGATTGGGGAGTATTGCAGCCCAAGGAGTTCATTGTGTGCAATGCAGGCCCGCTTCACTGCTTCAACAGAAGGCCCAGTGTCACATCTTCGTTTTTTCCCAGTTGAAATGTTACTACCCAATGAGAGCTGGGCTTCAATCTTTTGGGACAGTAATAAGCCCAATTCCGCACTGCAACAGTCTTCTACACGTCCAATGGCCTGATCTTGGATGTCAGGTGGGATGTGTAGATGTTTATCTAAAGTTGAAAACTGCAGAGAGGTCATCATCGCATTTAATGGAGGAGGTGTTTGCTGGTGTGTGGCAGATGACAAAGATGAGGACTCTGCACTAATATCAAGAGTGGCAATCATACCCCTATATGACTGCATCTCCATCTCATTAAAAGCTGGAGGTGACAACGGAAGGGTAGATGAGTTCACGCGCTCCTCCTCTTGTTGTTCCACACGTCCCAGTTCAGAGGGTTTTGCTTCATTCACCACTATGTTCTGTTGAGCCGAGTGTGTCGGCGATAAAGAACATCCAGTCTCAGACTTGTTTATGGCTTTGTGTAATAGGTTAGCATGGGGATGTTGGTGAGAGGTGTTCCCTTCCCGAATGGAGCCAAATTGCCTTTTAGGCGAAAACGCTGCAACCCTCAACTGTGGCCCATATTGCGGCCGGACTTGAATGGGAGGATTACCGTCATTCTCCGTCCAGTTGAAAGCAGCACATGATTTGTTGGTATGGCCCAACCGACCGCAACTATAACAGAAATCAGCAAGTTTCTCATATTTAAACTCAACAGGCCAAATTTCATCTCCCTGTTGTTGGAATTGGAAACCTGTGGGAAGAGGATTTCGAACATCAATTTCAACCCGTAAGCGTAAGAAGCTTTCCAGGCCACCCAGGGTAGATTGGTCCCATGAGATTAAGCGGGGAAATAATGATCCGATGAGTTGGATGTTTTCCCTAGACATGCAACCTTTTGGGAGGCCATGAACTTGTACCCAGAATTCTGAGTGAGAAAACACAATTTCATCAAAACGCTGGGTCGTCGTCCAATCTTTGAGGACAATATGGGACCCTTTGACAAACCAGGGAGACTCTCTAAAGATTCTGTCTTTCTCAGGTGCATTCGAAAGGATAAAAAGAAAAGTATTCTTGGACTGTTCATGCACTTCAAGCCCCCCTTTCGGACTCCAGGCACTCTTTAAAATGCTATACACCACCCCACTTCTAATATCATCTTCATCCGCAATTAGTCATCCTGCAAAGGAGAACCGGTGGGGCTCACTGTGTTCTGTTTTTTGAGTGGTTAGGCGAAGGATCTGGGGGGCTTGTCCCCCGTTGAAAGCACCACTCGCTTCTGGGCGTTGGCGTTGATGTACCATTTCCCCAGAAAGTGAAGAAATTAATATGGCAACCTGATCTGGTCAGTGGTAGGTAGAGCAATGAAAACACCACCAGAAACACTACCAAGCTTAATTTCAACCCAGCAAACAGAAAAGAAATTGGAAACCAGCTGCAAACTGCAAAGGACCAGAGAAGGAGATAGTGAAAACCACCTGAAGGTATTACCTCAGGATCACAAGCGGGAAGCCCTAGAGAGAGAAGCTCCTAGAAATGGTTCCCTTTAAGTGTGAAACCTTCTTCTTCTGTCTTTTCTGTCCTTTACCTTTTCCTCAATTTAACTTTTCCAGATCCATTGAAGCAACAATCCTATGCTTCTCCACGCCCTTTCCTATTACAAGTTTTGAGGCAGATGGCTTTATTGAATAGGATTTGGTAGGGATTGGTGCAGTGTAGATAGTTTCACTTTAACCCCTTCACCATTAA